TTCCACTTTCGGCATGTTAGAAACAATAAAAAGAAACATTAATTTCTATGAATAAAAAATAGTTTCTTAATTATTTTTCTAATTTATCTTGTTGTTTTATAGACAAAAAAAAAACATTATTTATTATAATGTAATTTTTATTTTATCTTCGACAGATATATCATAATGGAATATCAGAAATATTTTAAATACTTTTGTTTATTTGTTCTATGTACATTTTTATTTTATTTATTTGTTACAAATGATTATACTCGTATATTAGTATCATTAAAAATACCTTTCATAACTTCACTTAATATTATTAATTCATCTAGAGAAAATTTTCTAATAATAAATCAAACAAATAATTCAATTATTAAATTATCATCAATAACAAATCAATTTGAAACTCGTCTTTCTGATTATTATCCTCGTTTACCTATTCATATTTTTACTCAAAATTTATCACTTACAGGCAATACAAGCAAACTTATTTTATTAGGAAATGGATTTTTTGGTACTCGAGATTGGGGTATTGCTTCATCAAGTCGATCATCAACAGAAAAAAGTATAAAATTATTATGTACATATATATATTTCATAAATTAAATTTATTTATTTTCAGTGACAGCAATTCATTGTCCATTTTTATCTAACTATTGTGATATAACAACCGATAATGATCGTTTTTCTGAAGCAGATGCTATTGTTTATCATATGCGTGATGGTATTGATCTTAATCGTGCAAAAACAAACCGTCATCCTAAACAACGTTTTGTATTTGCTTTATGGGAATCACCAGCTCATACACCTAATTTACAATCTTATAATCAATTTTTTAATTGGACAATGACTTATCGATTTGATTCTCATATAATAACATCATATTATTCTCAATATGGATATATTCATACATCAAGTTCTTATTATAAATTAATATTAAATGAAAATTCTACACGTAAACTTAATTATAATATAAGAAAACTTGATCATCAACCATCTGATGAAATATTACAAAAGAAAAAATTAGGTACAGCTGCTGCTTTAATATCAAATTGTGGTGGTAGTAGTCAACGATTAGGATTTATAAATAAATTAAAACAGTATATTGATGTTAAAGTTTATGGACGATGTGGAGAATCATGTCCAGCAAAAACAAATTGTCGAAAATTTATAGCTGAAAATTATTATTTTATTCTTAGTTTTGAAAATAGTCTTTGTTCAGATTATACAAGTAAGTTAAGATACCCTCAAAAAACGGAAAAATATAAGTAAAAATTTTGATATCCTAATATTTTTATATAATTGAATAGAACTTATCAAGCTGTTACATTCATTGAAAATAATGAAAAAATATTTGAAACTAATTTATTCAGCATCAAAAAAATGTTTACACATCATCTGAACAATCAAATGAAAGCGAAAGAAAGTTCGTATGGATTTAGAAAAATATTGTTTCCTTGCTAAGAAAATCAATTCTTTCGAAATTGGTGGTAAATGGTAAAAGAATTGCATTGGTATTTCAATGTTTGAATCTTGATATTTGATTTTTTCATGCAAAATAAACATGATATTCTGAATCAGTATATGAAACTGTATCACGTAACATATATTTTATCAAAAAAATATCTTTTATCGAATATTGACCTGTGAGGCGCCATATGATCAAATTGACTAAAAGAAGTGCTGAGAGGAGTACAGTCGAATTTTGATGAAAAATATTTTTTGATAAAATATATACTAATTCGACAGATGAGAAAATCCCGTCTGAGAATCGATTTTTTTAAAACAACTTCTATCGCTTATTAACCGCGTATCAGTCCCGAATTAGAAAAATCTTGATCAAACAGCTAATAAGAAAGAATAGTCTATTGAAAAATGCATTTCTTTGTTGAAAACATGTTATGGAATCACTTCAATACTTGTTTGTAGCATAATCTGAAAGAAAACTCTCTAGATGAAAAGTGAACATATTCAGTAAAATCTGTTTGTGTAGTCATTTTAAAAGGTCTATTCGTCTTTGCACTTTCTTCTAGAAATTCAGAAACATTTTTATCACGAAACTGTGCATTCATAATTAAAGATAACATATGTTCAGATATACACGCTGAGATTTGTTTTATAAAATTTTTCTTCTAACGAGGGAACCTTTTCAACTGTCCAATCGCTTTTGAGTTCGAACTCA